TGGGTGTTTACTGCTTATTTAATTTTTTACCCATTAAATAGTTCAATCTTGATCACACATGCACCCGTGTTTTATTTTTTTCTTAGTTTTGAAAGTTCTTTTTTTATAGCAAATACAAAGCTCTAACACTGAACAACAGGCTGCTTTACACCTAAGTAGTCCCACTGATGTTCAGTATATACAAGTCGGTGTGGCCATAGGGAGGAGATCTCCCTTTGGCTTATATCCAACAAATCATGATAAAATTTTCATGGAAAAGATTTGAAGGCTTTCATTAACTAAACAAAAAAAATTACACATTCGGTAAATAACCTGTTTTCAAACATGGCAAAGATTGTCCTTTTATCACAGTCATGTTGTCGTGACATATTTTGGTTGACAGCCAGCTCAATATGAGCCAGCAGTGTGCCCAGGTGGTCAGGGCGGCCAACAGCATCCTGGCTTGTATCAGAAATCCTGTGGCCAGCAGGAGTAGGGAAGGGATCGTGCCCCTGTACTCGTGTGTACAGGTGTGTGAGGCCTCGAGTGCTGTGTTCAGTTTTGGACCCCTCACTATAAGAAAGACATTGAGGTGCTGGAGTGTGTCCAGAGAAGGGCAACGAAGCTGGTGAAGGGTCTAGAGCACAAGTCGTATGAGGAGCGGCTTGGGGAACTCAGGTTGTTTCGTCTGGAGAAAAGGAGGCTGAGAGGAGACCTTATCGCTCTCTACAACTACCTCAAAAGAGGTTGTGGTGACTGTGTTGGTCTCTCCTCCCAAGTAACAAGCGATAGGACAAGAGGAAATGGCCTCAAGTTGCTCCAGGAGAGGTTTAGATTGGATATTAGGAAACATGTCTTCACTGACAGGGTTGTCAATCATTGGAACAGGCTGCGGAGGGAAATGGTTGAGTCCTTATCCCTGGAGGAGCTTAGAAGATGTGTAGATGTGGTGCTTAGGGACATGGTTTAGTGGTGGACTTGGCAGTGTTAAGTTTGTAGTTGGAGATGTTCTTAAAGGTCTTTTCCAACCTAAACGATTCTGTGATTCTATGTCAGTATTTTGAGGGTTAAAAAGCAGTAAGGAGGAGTAAGAAGAAATGAAAATTAATAGTGGTGGAAGTATTGTAATGGTAGATCTTCAAAAAAGTAGCTTTGAAGACACATTTGTCAAAATATGTGCGTTCAGCTAAAATTAGCTCAAATTTGGTTCAAATTAGTACTCTTTTCTGTTGAGAAATCTTGTCTGGGTCAAAGTGGAGGATTGCACCAGCTTTCTAAAATACAGGGGAACTTCTTGCAAGTCTGCTGCTTGTGAGATATATCAGTGGCTGATGCAAGCACTCTACATCTGACGTGCTCTGGATATGTCTCACTCGCTATGTGTATTTCAGTCAACCACATCCTAGGCAGAATATGGGACTCTTGTGACTCAACAAGCACAAATCCCTGTGTATATGCATTCCCATATATTTTACGAGAAGGAATAAAATACTTTAAAAGAAGAAATTATACTTAACATTGAATTTTCTATATCTGATTTAAATATTAGCATTTGCTTTAAAAAAAAAAAAAAGTTACCATAATCTTGCTGTATAAAGGTATTTTTAATAGAAGTGGTTGAAAAAGATAAACTTAATATGGAGAGATCTGAATATGAAAATCCATGGCCATGAGGCTGAAAAAATAACTGTATGAAAGGGGGAGTGCAATAACAAAGTAAAGTTGGCTGAAATGGTTATAATTTTCAGCATTCACGTGGTACTTCGCATTATTTAGATCCCTACCATAGCCCTTTATATAGATCACTTTAAGCTTAAACCTCAAGTTTTGGAAAGTTTTGTAGTCTTGCATTATCTCAGTCTTCGTCTGAACGTCTAAGCAATTTGTAATTGTAAGTTTGAAATAATGTGTGAGGCTTCATTTAAAAAAAAAAAAGAGAAAATGTTGGGGAAATGGTAAATTTTTTCCCTTCATTTTCTAAAGTAAGTGCATGTGCTGAGTGAGATCTGTCTTGGTGTTTCATTAAGAAATATCATGCAAATTAGTTTGCAAAGTCTGCTGCCTTAGAATTTTTTATTTTTTATTTTTTGTAAAATCCTCTGAAGTGCTTTTCTACACCAGATACCTTAAAAAAAATGGTAAAACTTTTAAGATTACAAATGCAAGGAAAATAAAGTCCATTTTCCCAAAGGGAGATCTAACAGTGTGAGAAGATGGACAATCAATCCCATCTAGGGATTTGGAATAGAGCTGAGCTCCACTGCGGAGGTGCTGTAACCTGGACAGAGGAGGGTATCAGCCACGTGGTTTCACGGCATACGGGACAGGCGGTGACTAATGGGTTGGGTTTCTGGTTGTTTTCTGGTTGTTTCTGGTCTGCTCTTACCCAGCGTGAGCAGGCACTGGACAAGTGATTCAGACTGTTTGGGGAGGGGGCAGCAGGTCAGCCTTGCTGCTGCAGAGCTGAGCCCTGGGGCGCTGCGTGGGGTTGCCCCTGAGGACATGGCAGTCGAAACCAGCACCTCCTCACGACCGTCGGGAGCAAACTCTCCTCCTGGTCCCGCCAACACGAGCTTTTAGCGTTTTGCCCGTTCTCAGTAAGGTTGCAGCAGATACCAGGAGGAGAATGAGTCAAAACGGATGACCTTAAATCTGTGCTTCTGGCAGCTGGAGTGCAGAGAAATGAGCTTGAGGTGGTAGGAATAATTACTGTTGATGATTTACCATGTGGTAATGGATTAAAGGCATCCTGTTTCCTATCAAGATCTTAAGGCATTGTACAAGTTGTTGTGACCTTTATAATATGGTTTCCAGTGGTATAAAATAAAAGTAAATCTCAGTGTGAAAATAAGAATGGATGTGAAACACATGTATAAACCCTGTCCTTTTTCTTCCTTGCTATGAGGAAACCAACAGTGAACTATTCACTGTTAACTAGGGCAGCATTTCCACTCCAAACAAAGCTACTCACTGTGTGTTCACTGCAGCCTGCAATTTGGGAAATACTTTGCTATCCCTCTTCATTATATGGGAGACACTTGCAACATCTAAACATTTTTTCTATAGTTTTGTAATTGGATACTTAAATTGGATACTTAAATGAGAAGGCTACTTGAATAAATATTTTAGTCATCTCTATTAGTGACATCTGTAATAAAACCGTGATTAAAAAAAAATAAAAAATTCATTTCTAACCAGGCAGAATGCATTTTTAAGCACATATTGGGAACCGAGAATATTATTGCCTTATCTATAATGAAGTACTCCAAGTAATGTAAGAGGAACAAGATCTGAGATTCCCCATGTGACAAATTTTCATCAGCCTATTAATATTTAGGAATTGAATAGCAAAATAATAGGTTGTTCTGTGCATTGGATGGAGATAAAAGGGCTCAATTTTGCAAACCTACATGTGCATATCCTGATACCATGCAATGAAAAGCTGGGATGTTAGTCTCAGAAAAGGTATATATATGCCAAAGTGCCGGAATTTGTGGTCGGGACAAATGTAGAATAGTTGAGTAAAGAGAGTTTTTTGCATTTTCTGGCTAATGGTTAATTGGGTGTAGTAGAGAGGTATGAGGTACCAAGTCATCTTACCTGGGATGCTCTTGTCTGTTTAAATAGGAGTAATTTTTAGGCCCAGTTGATTTAAAACTTTCAACCATGGTTTTAAAGGAATTTACACACAGATGTGTCCTGTAATGTTTGTTTCCTTTCAAAAAACTGAAACTTGAATACCTTTTGTAAATCAAGCGTAAGATTCTAAATGTGGGTGTACACTGCGTGCAGCTGCACATGGCTTAGAGTCTCCCAGTTGCATTCAACCCTGAACATGCTGGATTTGCTTGGCTGCTTTTCTTTGTGGTGTTATAACCAGAGCACTAACAAATCAGTCCCTGTATGTAATTTGAGCATCAGGGCTGACCCTCCAAAGTTTCTGCTCTATACTCTTTTGGTTGGTTTAGGTGCAGGACATCTGAGCACTGCAGTCTAAAATATATGTAGATAATTCTGAGGGCAGCTGCCGGTGAGTTTTTTGCACTGTCATTCTGGTTTGGGGGAAAAATAAAAAGCCCTTTCCTTCCAGAAAACTGGAAAATGGGAAAATTTGGGAAAACGAGATGCACTTCAAAAAACTCAAACTTTTTCCAAGAACTTCATCGACAAGTTGTTCTGTCAGGTGAATTTCTGTTTTTGCAGTGTTGTGGTGTTCTCTGTTAGGACTGTGTAAAAGTGGGGTGAGTACCAGTCTGTCGCCAAGGCCAGCTGAGCTATCTGGCCCGTGGAGTAAGAATCATTGCTCAGCTTGGTTCACTTCTAGACCCCTCAGGCTGCAGATATTAAGGCTACAGAACTTTATTCAATTATGCTGCATATACATGCCATTAAAAGTAAGGTATGATTATAGCCACAATCTGAAGACTGTAAATATAACTGAGAATCAAGATACTCTTATTAAAGACGCTTTCTGTAGTATTTTGATCAGTATCTGAACAATGGTTGATGTACTGGAACATTGACTCCTCAGAGCAATGTTTTTTGAGTGGGCTTTAGTCTAAAAATAATAATTAAAAAAAATTAAGCAGC